AACGCAAAAATGAAATAGCCTATATTCAGTGGTCTTTTTATTTATTTAAGCTATTAAAAAACGGCACGTTTCATAATTGCAACAAAAATAATAGGGTACAGTCAATAATGGCATTGAATAACAGCATGCATTATTTTTTGTTGAACGTTCATCAGGTAAAAAAACGAATTAGGTATGCCTTTTTATTGCTGGGTAAATTTGTAGCTTCAATTTTACGTTTTTATTTCATTCTCTACAATTAAAGCAGGCAAGTATCTTAATCCGTATGTTATTAAATACGGCCAGTTCAGCACACTGCTGTTCACAGACCTCGCCACATCTGAGCTTCATTTCTCTGTAGAATAAACTCTGAGCTGTAATGAAGCTGTTGTACAGTGTTGTGTAAAAGAGTCTTTTTGACTGAAATCGCAGGCCTGAGCGTTTGCAGTTGAGTGCTTCAGCAGACGGCTCAGATGCGGTCAAACTGGATTTTGGACAGCAATGAAACATGTTCAGTAATGAAATAAGTGCTTGACGGAGGCTTCAGGACTGAGTTCGCGGTCAGTGTACAGCTGCTTTCTGCATCTGGACGGTAGTTCAATAAATAGGGAACACTGAGTCAACACAACGAGCGAACGCTTTTAAAACCACATTACACTGGAGTCGAGATCAGACGCGATGTTTTTGCTTTAAAAAGCTTTTTGGGAGTTCGGATAAAATGTCACTACAAGCTGACAGATATATCAGTGAAACAGGTGTCGTGTGAAATCGCACAATGGCTCGACACACAATAAAAACTAAAAAGAGCAGAAATGGAATGCGCGGGAACGGCCCGCCGCTTTTAAACCAATCAGAAACGTCAATCATTTTTGCGCGCCAGAAACTGGCGGGAAATTATAATTTAAGGTAAACAAAATGGTGCAGAGGCACCTGAGGGGCAGCAGTTTATTAGGTTTAAAGTTATATACACACTTCAATTTATATAATAAACATAAATATAAGTAGAATTCTTGTTGAAAACAATGCGAAGTTGTACGTTGAACCGAATTTTTAGGCGTTCGGAAGAAAATGTGCGTAGTGCTTTCACCTGTACCAAACAAGAACGGTCGTAATGCTATGTGTGGATTTAACGCGTTCCCTTACCAAAATCAATCATGGTTTTATTATAGTAATTAGACTAAAAAATATATAAATTAGTAACCATTAGTAGTACCATTTTGGGGGATTTTGTATAATCAAAGTTTTACTGCAATGCCATGGGTAAACGATGGTCAGTGTAGCAAATCCAAGGTTAATTTGTGGTTACCATGATTTATCTGTATTAACCATGTGTTTTTGGTTTTATTTGTAGAAAAACAGTGGTAATTTTCGGGAAAGGTTGCTAAGGCGTTCTGGGGGATTTAGCTGTGCTGAACGGCTGCTGTGGCATTCTGAGTGATTTTTAGCGCGTTGCTAAACAGTTACTGAGTTCTGAGTGTTTTATTTACGGTTTCTATGGGTGTTCTGAGCTAATTTCAACACGTTGCTAACATGTTTCAAGGTGTTCTGAGTGTTTTACCGCGTTGCTAAACGGTTGCTGTGGTGTTCTGAGTGATTTTTAGCGCGTTGCTAAACAGTTACTGAGTTCTGAGTGTTTTATTGCGGTTTCTATGGGTGTTCTGAGCTAATTTCAACACGTTGCTAACGTGTTTCAAGGTGTTCTGAGTGTTTTACCGCGTTGCTAAACGGTTGCTGTGGTGTTCTGAGTGATTTTTAGCGCATTGCTAAACAGTTACTGAGTTCTGAGTGTTTTATTTACCGTTTCTATGGGTGTTCTGAGCGAATTTCAACACGTTGCTAACATGTTTCAAGGTGTTCTGAGTGTTTTACCGCATTGCTAAACGGTTGCTGTGGTGTTCTGAGTGTTATTGTTTGCTAAATGTTTTTCTTTTTCAGTTTTTTAAATCTTTTTTTTATTTTTTTAGCGCTGCTAAACAGTTACTGAGTTCTGCGTGGTTTTGTTAAACAGTTTCTATGGTGTTTTGACTGAATTTCAACACATTGTCGAAGTGTTGCAAGGTGTTCTGAGTGTTATCATTTCAGCGCGTTGCTAAACCGTTGCTGTGGTGTTTTAAATGGGTTTAGGGCGTTGCTATGGCGTTCTGTGGGGGGTTTACGGCGTTGCCACGGTGTTTTGAGTGGTTTCAGTGAGTTGCCAAGTTGCAATGGCGTTCTGAGTGGGGTGTTTTGGACGGGTGCCAGGGCATTGCTATGCAGTGGCTGGGTTTTCTGAAAGGTTTCTAGAGCGTTGTTAGGTGGTTGCTGATGAGCCCAAGTGAAATTTGTAAATGTGAAATTATTAGGGCTGCAAAACAATCGCATTCAAAATAAAAGTTTAAATAACTATATGTATATTATACTTGCTTATAATTTATATATATATATAAATGTAACATATTTTTCCTTAATATATACATGCATGTGTGTTTTTATATATACATATACACAATACACACACATAGTATGTAAACAAACTTTTATTTTGAATGTGATTAATCACGATTAATCATTTTGCAGCCCTATAGTAGCCTATATATATATTGCCATTTTACTTTCTCTCGTTCCCCGGTCGCTGACCTCATCTTTCAACACGCCATCTTGCTGTGTCAGGAGAGAGTCTCTACACGTCTCTCGTCCATTCATCACTTAAAAACACATGGCAGACATGAGCCTCCATCTCTCTGTGCTGTGGTGTGTCCATGTTTCTGTCAGGCGCTGATCTCTGGTTGGCTGCCGTCTCTCAGCCTGGCACATTGTTCAGAAACACCACCTCCCCTCGAGTTCCTCCTCGATGGCACTGACGCTGGCCTACGTTTGGAAAGGCACTAGCTGAATGTGTGCCGCCTTTTGTTGCCCAGAGAACAGGCTGATCCTGGCACAGAGTCGCTCTCCTTTCACAACCCTCCTCCCCCCCGATGCCCCGGAGTCATCTGGCATCACTCCACCAGACATCAGCCCGCGTGCCCCCGCATGAGCTGGGATACTGGAGCGCACTGTGTGTTCTGCTCTCAAGCAGCACTGCTGGTGTACAGCATACTACTGCACTGCATACTGATGAATGTTTTGGTTTATAAACAATGCATTATGCCTTATAATCATTTTAAACAGTATGCTACACTATACTATGCACTGTCTCAACCTTTGGCAGTCTGATCAAATAATGAGTTAAAGAGAAATATATTAAAAATTGAATTGATATTCTTAATTTGTAAATGGAAAGTCAAATGCATTGCATTGTGGAATGCATTTTTTTTTTTGCAGTGTATGCACTCAATAAATATATATTTTTTAAATATGCATGACGATAATCATTTTAAACAGTAGTATGCTACGCTGTTGTCACATCATGACCTCACTGCACTGTGTGTGTGTGTAATGCAGTGAGCAATGTATTTTGCATTTGCCTTTTTTTTTTTTTTTTG